GCTTCCCCTTGGAGCGATTGCCCCAGGGAGGTGCTGTCCAGTGTGAGACCTGTCGCCTTCCTGCCCCAAGCGCGTAAGGGGGTACAACAGTCGGGAGCCGCGGTGTTTGGGCAGAAGAGGTCCTGGAGGTGATGGTCATGCTGGGGCAGGGATCTCCGTCCACCTCCACGGACAGTGCCCACCACGTGCCAGGAGCCGGAACAGCAAATTAGGAAGCGGGTACTTCTCTTACGGTGCCAGGCGCGTTTGCAAACATTACCTAATTGAATTTCCGAAAAGACCCACTTGACAGACTGGAAAACAAGTCCAGAGGAGTCGAGTAATTTGCCTAGGTCACACAGGTCCTAGATCTTGGAGTCTCCTATTTCCCCACCACTCCGTGCAATTTCCAAACTCAGGAACAGTTTCAATGCAAGATGGTGAGCAGGAATGACCGGAGCACCAGGCAGGAGAGGTCAGCTCTGCCAGGGGTGAGAGGACGAGGAAGTGGGAGTGGGGGCAGGATTATGTAAACCGAAACTCAAAGAGTGCGGGTAAGGGAGAGCAGTTGCCTTTGGTGGTAAAAGCCAGCCTCCTGGGTCCCTATAAATACTGGCAGGAAGACAATTTTAATTATAAAATGTTTAAATACATGGAAAAATATAGAGAGTGAAATAAACAATCACCGTCCATCTAGATTTAACAATCAGAATAAATAATGTGTATAGCACTTTATAATTCATAAAGCCTCTTGCTTAAGGTTACCATATGGCAAACGAAGCTCATTGGTGAGCTGATCTACTTGCACCCCATTGCTGTAACACCTCGGACAGGTCAAAGCCACCCACCACCCCCACTTGGGAAGCTGGTTTCCTCTCCCTCCTTTCCCATCCTGCTCAGGAGGTTGGAGGTTGTCCCAGAACTTGATTTGCACAGTTAAAATATGTTTCTTAGTGGGAAGTTCATTGCCTGGAAGTACACTTTGAACTTGAATGGTTAGTTTCTTAAAGTCTCAGATTTCTCCCTTAAAGTTCAATATACTGATGAGTGAGGGAGAGTTTGAGTCACAATGAGATCCATTATTTTCAATTCCAGATTAATACAGGAACTCTTTCACGATCTTCCCAACAGTTCTTTCCACTCGCTTAATAACAGGCATGTATTACATTCAAATATAATATACCTACTTTATGATGATGGCTGGGGATAGGACTGATATCCGCTTAGAGGCTAAGCTAATTATAAAATACTTTTAAAACTATCTTTTTTCTTATTATAAAAGTTATATATATATACATATCCCAAAATGATGCAAAAATGAATGTGATAGAAAGTGATACCCCTTATTACCTAACACCAGTCAGAATGGCCATCATTAAAAAAAAGCCACAAACAATAAATGCTGGAGAGAGTTTGGAGAAAAGGGAACCCTCCTACACTGTTGGTGGGAATGTAGTTTGGTGCAGCAACTATGGAAAACAGTATTAAGATTCCTTTAAAAACTAAAAACAGAGTTACCGTATGATCCAGCAATCCCACACCTGGGCATATATCCAGAGAAAACTCTAATCTGAAAAGATACATGCACCCCAATATTCATAACAGCACTATTTACAATAGCCAAGACATGGAAGCAACCTAAATGTCCATCGACAGATGAATAGATAAAGAAGATATGGCA